TCCATAGTGTGTTGCATACATGGATCCACCAACAAATCCATTACAAGAGCCTTGGTGTATGACCAAGGCACTTCCGATTTCATATATCCTCTCTGAGTATCTATACACGGTATTTGTGATAAACTATAGGATTCTTAGCCTAACATATCTCATTATAAACGGGATATTTTACCGTTTTGTATGGGGACAAACAGGATATCTTACATTTCAGTTGGTAGAATCAAGCATTATCCTTGATCGGATGTACCGTAATTGCCTATCTTGGAAATGATTACTTCTCTAAATAGCTTACATCTTAACCAAGGTATAAAAGAACTGATTCCCATTATGAATTTGGATTAATGGGATTAGACCACATGACAAAGTGCTCTAAAGAATCTCTAAGATTCCTAATTAATCTTTGGAAGATACGCCTAATATCTGTGCTATATGTTAAAACCATCCACACTATAGCGTCCTAACCGAATTTATGGTTAATCTTTACCTTTCTAGATTAACTTTCTTTAAAGCAAGGTAAGTAAAAGTCATGTTACAGCTTTTGTTCCAAATTCATCCCGATACTCATTTACTGTTAATCTCAAATACATAGAGATTCTTTAACTTCCTTACATATCTTCACTCACGTTGTGCTTGACATGTCAAGGTATTGACTTTAAATACCGTTGGACTAAAAGTACTCTATTCCTCCGAGATACACGAGTATCTAGAGACTCATATCTCTAGAGGCAGGGTGCCGGTTGCAATTTAGCCTATGATTAACAAATTACCTTCTATTTCAACGCTGACACGCATTAATCTGTGGATAATATGATAATCTGAATGTAATAATCTCAAACTATGAATATGGAACGGGCATTAAATGCTATGTAAAGATATTATTATATCCGTAAAAGATCTGATATTAAAGATATACTTATGTATATCTGTGTATAATCACAGATATACATATCATAAAAGTATTAAATGATACAATCTCATTATTAAAACGCATACCAACTCTAATAGATATATTCAAAGGGATATTATTTGTAAAAATTATAATGATATAATTTTTATGATAGGGTTTTATATCATCTCAAAATATGAGCTGTAAAAAAGATATTAAGTTCAGTGTTCCTAAACAAAGGGATTTTAGATGCATGGCTCTATCTTAGAAGATCTAGATAGGACGTATTTAATATCGTGGGTTTATCTCAGCTCTATTCACTATTTCCATTAATTGACTCGGCGTATGTATGAGTCATGGGAAAACATGTCGATATTCTGTAATACACAGAATATTACCTAAACTCGTTTCCGGAGCTTTGTCGAAAACGGTCTATACTTGCTGATTCATATGAACCAATCATACGGCCTAATACCTAAAATTAGAATTTAAGATTAACCATTTATTAAGTACACACCAATGTACTCCATAATTGGGTTATATACATTACCCGTTTGGACAATTATGAGTTGCTAGATCACCTAAAGTGTAATATTTACAAAAAGGCTCTGAAATATCAAGGTTTATTTTAGGCATATATAGAAAATTGTTTTACAAATATCGGCGACTGGATTACCACCAGGTTAATATTGCATTCTAATACCGTTGGAACCCGTAACATAAGTTAAATGATTTTATCTTGAGTATGAGGTAATCCAGCTATATGTGAAAATCTTAAATATTGAACCTATTTTAACATAATAAACGTATTCTATCAAATATACCAAGGGATGTGCCTACATCATATCTCGTGAAATACCTTTATAAATGTTCTCTTATTATTTGAACATTTTGTGACAATATCTAAATAAAGTATCTGTACATAAGATATATTTATGTATTGGAGGATCCTAAACGAGTTTATGAGCTATGTACAAAATATGATACACGCTAATTTAAGCTTTAGACTCTGTATAAAGCAAGACTCCGTAGCTATTGAGCTACGGTATATACGTACTTTAAACTTTGCATTGATCAGTGCTAATAGCTGGAATTATAGTTGTTCTAAACATTATCTGAAACATATAATGTTTAGAGTACTTAACAGGGGCTATGACTAGAATAGATCGGGACACTCATAAAGTATAGTATGAGTTTACTACAAGATATCTGTGATACAATACCCAAAGTAAATTTTAATCTAAAGTGCATAAGATTGCCTATTTTACACTCTAAAGTGGGTATATATTCTAGACGTTCTCTATTAATCTATCATACTCAATCATACCTTTTGTTGGAAGATATAAGATCTCTATGACAATAATATATCCTAAATGTCTAGATAGATTGGTGTACGTTTACCTAATCTCTAAATAGACCTCAATGTTATAACTCAAAGATATAATACTTAGCTCACGGAACTTTCATGATAGTTTTGAACCTCCATATTTTGGTATAATATTGAATAATTAAGCTTTGTGGACATTACAATCTATATCGACAAACTTTCTATGGTTTGTCGATAATCTTCATTGAAACTAGTCATTGAGATTAGGCTAATATATCCCACGTTATCTATATTGCTCTCATATAGTGTTTTACAAAAATCTTATCATCCGAACTCGCAATTTATTATCTACGAAATATTGCTTTTATCAAGATGTGCAATATACCTCTTCCACTTCTAAACGTCTAACATTTAGTGCCTTTCACTCATCCCTTGAGTAAAAGGAATTAGGGGATGTTTTCTAATTTTGTAGTCAACGAGTTAGAATAAATATTTACAAATTAGAGTATGTAAACCATAAACAGTATATGGTTTATATACTGTGACACGCATATGATAATACATTGCATTATCATTTTTCTGAAGTAACCGTTTGTAGGGATACAATTGATATTAGAATACGAGTAATACGGTATTTAGAGTGATAGTTGAAACATCTGTGGAAACTAATCTTTCCCATTGATATTCATTACCATGGAGATTATAATGACTTGTTCGTTCAATTTTGATAAAATCATATCAAAATGCTAGAGATCGATAAATATCAAAAGTCATGACCATAATAAGGGAATTATCAACTTAGCCTAAAACGAATAGAGTAACAAGTTAAAAGATATTTTGAAAGTATGTATACTTTGTGCATACTTCCCTTAATATGTCTGAGGTTAATCTATAATTAGTGCGATCTTTACTCTATGTAATTAAATCTATACATAGATCCGATCATATCTTGCTAAATTAAGTATCTGTTAAGACATATTATATGTAAACCGGAATAAATGGTTTCGTTTAGTGGCAGGGAACAAAATTTAATATCTTAACGGTATTGTATGATAACGTATATAATATTATAGGGATGAGTGTCAATGCATCATGGTAGATAACAGTTCGGATAGGGAAGATAAATTAAAGAGTTCTAAACTGACATATTATGCCATATCCCTAAACGATAATTTATCTCCTAGATTGTTTGTTCTCAATCCAGGGTATATCCTCGAGAGATACCGCTGAAACTACATTTATAACTCATTATAAATGTACACTCAGCTCTGTCTTAGATATGAGTTTATACATGTAGATATAATCTCTACATGTATCTATGCAATACCGCCTGAAGAAATACATTAGGCTTAATGTATGTTTACAGAGCCAAATACCCTTCAATGGGATTTGGTCTAATAACAAAAGTGTCATTACGAGCCTAATGATTGCCGAACAGGATGAAATAACGTAACTTTGTCATAACTATCCAAGCTCATATATGATAATCCTATAACATATGCTTAAAGTTATAGTGTAATTCAGTTATACAATGGTATAGGGATTAAAATCTAATCTACACTAAAATGCATCCTTATTAGTAGGCTGTGATTGCCTATTAGCCTCACTACAACAATTAAGCCCCTAATGTAACAGTCAAAAGTGTTACAATACCACTAAAAAGTGTTACAATATCACTAAAAAGTGTTACATTAGAGCAATTGTAACACTTTTTTACCATTACATTTGCTCATGTTGCATTAGATTCTATTGTAACACTTTATAGACCTTAATGTAACATTTATACTTCTAGAAAGTGTTACATTAGATCTAAAAAGTGTTACATTAGAGAAATATGTAACACTTTTACAAACTGTTACATCATTAATGTTACGTTAGGTCTGAAAATGTAGTAGTGCGGCCTATTTATTAGCTCTTAATCAATTCTAACTAATAGCTTAGGTACATGTTTAGATTTAAACTGTAGAATTACACTATTTAGTGTAGATTTTTTCATAAATAATCTCATACTCGATAGTATCATATAGTAATGTTACAGTAACTATAAGGAGTAATTATGAGTACACAAGATTTGAACGTATGATCTCATTTTAAGGGAATAATAATAGTGGTTATATTAATATATTATTTTAGAAATGTATCAACGAGTGATATATTTCTATATTTAGAAATATAGAAATTGATATCCATACATATATTGAGTAGTCCTACATACAAAATATGTATCATGTAGTAATACCGTATATATTAACATCTATTAAGAGAACAAGATATAAAGATTTACTGTATAGTATATCCCTCATCATTTAGGTTACAACCTTAAATGATGAGGGAGTTCGGTATTTAAGCGCATGACAAACCCCACTTCAAAGATTTAGGTATACGCGTTTCATGATGGATTGTATAAAATATGTATAGCAACGGTAAATATCATATAAGCTTAAAATCTTGAAGTGCATGTGCGAAATGTCATGAGATAGACGTAAGACTTTTAACACCGCATAAATTACGTGGAAATAGTTATGAAAATTTCCATCGAGTATTATACATCGAAATGTCATCGAGTATTTTAAATTGTTAATATGAGTACGTGCCAATTTATTAAGTGATTCATAATGAAACGTGTATACCTAAATCTTTAATTGTGTTAAGACAATTAACACACATCTCTAAAGGATGTTAACCTTTAGAGATGTGAGCTATTAACAAATCTATGTTATATATATGCGGTATTCAAACGTTCAAATTGGTGTGTGAAATAGCATAAACGTTCAAAGGACATATACCTAATAACGTTATAATTAGGTATATAAAACATACCTAGTAATTATATATAATTCACTCATTTGATACAAAACAAATTAGTAGCATACGGATAATTCAATATCTCAGTATACATTAAACTAGTTACATACAGAGTGCTATCTAAAAAAGAAAAAACAGGGTAACTTCATTAAATTACATAAGGCCTAGCTAGGAGATTGATAATCTTCAATTTTTATACCTGCAAAAAGAACAAAAAACACCAATAATTAGACTTGTAGGTTAAACATGCCGAAAAAAATTATTTGTAGCTATATATAAACGCAAGTGTGAGAAATATAACTGATAATGAAATAAAACCATATAATAAGACAATATAATGCTAACACCATTAAAATCATCATATTATTACGTAGTATTATGTATTATTTGGTCAACATTAAACTTCCATCATAATAATAATAAAATGTTGGTTTTGACAGGCAGCATTAGGGTCTTGGTGAATGAGTAGAATAGTAGAATACCATTCCATAAGTGATAAGTTAAGCAAGAGCAGTTTCTCAGTTAGGTTTGCCACTGCCCCTTCCTCTTCATTCTCCTCTTCTTCCTAATTGGATCCCCCACAGACCTGTCCTCAGTGATTCAAAAACAAACAAACATTATTGAATTAAAAAACTAAGCAACTCCAGGATGCAACTTCATAATACATTGTAGAGCAAACGGTTAATCTACTACCTGATATCAATACACATAATGCATACATCCACAAATACATAAAAACACTAATCAAATTGAGATTTTTTGTTAGAAAGAATGAGTACTCACATATAACTCTGAACATAGAAACCGGTTTCAACAGAACATTGTGAGAGAGTGGCAGAAAACTTGTCCCCTTCGGATTAGAGTGTGACGTTTGCGTACGCAATATACTGGAATCCACCAAGCCATTCACCTTGCTCACCATCCAAGAACATATGTACGGTCGTGCTCCCATCATACTCAGCCATTCACACAAATTTCAACATTGGTTCCAATATTAGGGTGAAATATTTTATTCAAAAAATAAATAACGTAATGAGAGAAACATGGAAGACAAATAGTACTACATATAAAGATCAAAACAAATGTAAACATTTCAAAATCACATTATAATGTCTGGAGACCTGCTTCTTTTTGTTCATGACATGAAAACGGAATAACTCGTCCTTTACTAAAATTTACAATGAAAAAACTTACACTCCATCAAAATAAAATAATAAGCACTGATAATGCAAACCCAAGATAAAGAAACTCATTAAATGAGGAATTGGCTGAATGGTCATAAAGTGAGAAGATTTGCATTAAAGAAAACTCAAATATACAGAGCATTTGTTAGTTGATTTTTCTCAATTGAATAGCAAGTTTCTGAGTCAGGTCCAGCCTATTGGGCATCGACCCACTGCCATCTCTCAATATCGTATATGCACGACTAATCCAGGAAGAGGAGGTGCGGATTATTACTGGTGGTCACGTGGATGGAATAAATCCCATGAGTTTCGCTGTCCGTGGAAACGCTTCTCATGGTCGAGGTTCAGGGGGGGTAACACGACCACCAGGCAGTTTCATGACTTGTACTTTTTGTTCAAAGCCAGGACATACTGAAGACCGATGCTTTGTTAAGCATGGTTATCCAGAAGGATGGATGGAACGCCGTCGTAATACACACAAGACACGTGGGTCCTCTGGCAGCAACACACTAATACGATTACAATCAAATGCAAACTAACAATTACAAACTTGCATAATACTAGTAAATAAATATTACAAATGATAATAAAAATGTACACTTAGGCACTAATAACTAGTGCCTATCACTTTCCCTCATATCGGCGATCTCGAAATTTTCTATCTCGTTGGAAAGATCTTATCGAGCTATAAAACTTATCTTCAGGCGCCGGTTTCGAAATATCAAGGGATGGAGAAATGGATGACTGTTTCATCATTTTGACAAATACCATTTGTGAACTGATCATATCTTATATGTGATCAGAATATGTATTAAGTTTACTGTAATAAAATATAAAACCCTTGATATTACCAATCCGTTTGCATATACACTCAGAGTATGTTCAAATGGTTATCTTTAATTATAATAACCGTGGTCTTAAGATATAACAACTTAAGTGCTCTTAGTTATACATAATTATTTGACAAATATTACACCAAGGGTTTATCTTCATACTTTTGGAGATGTGAAGACACTCGTTTTAAAACATGTCTTCCAGATAAATTTAGGCAACAGCCTAAATTAAAAAATAAGATATCTTAACGGTGGTATCGTTTTAAAAGATTGTGACAATATATCTGTTTATATCATACTCACTAAGTGTGTATATAAAAATACAATCTTCACCATATTAGGACTGTTTATTCTCAACAATCCTGAAATATAGGCAATCACTTTTATAGACAGGTTTGTCCTGAAGACCTATTTAGGATATATCATCACAGGCTTCCAAACGAAAATATACCTCAAAATACTAAGTAATATATCACATGTCAGAGATATACAAGCGCATTGGACCACACATACCGCTACAGACAAATTGAAAAATCATATTTAACATTTTTCTTTCAATTACAATGCATTAAGCAATCTCTATTATATTGCAACGCTATCATTTAAATAGAGCACTTTTAAGAATTTATGGCCTATCTTTAGACCACATAAACTGATTTCCACATAATGTTTACTTTCGAAAATTTCATTACTTTTAACGTTTTCACACCAGCTTTAGTGAAAGGGTGGGTCCTACCCCCCTACGGCGGTCTTTATAAAGGTACAACCCGTGCACTATTCTGTTAAAACAGTTAGTATATAGGTTAATCCCTATAAATTTAGTAGAGCACTAAATTATGGGGTTTTTTCAAAAATATTACCAAAATAAAACTAATTTACAAAAATGTGACTAATAGTTACTGCAATGTAGGATCATAGTAACTATGGTTCAAAAATTATATATAAGTTACCATGATTTCATTGCTACTCTAGTCACTAATCACATTTTTGTAAATACTCTTCATTTTAGTCATAAATATCTAATTATTTCCTAAATTATCTAGACTATTCCCCAACGGCGTATAAAACTTGATATTCTATTTAGATGCTCTATTTAGCGTAGATATATTACAAATTATCAAAGTGCTCTATGATAATTTAGTGCTCTACTTAGGCACTTTTACGTCCTATTTAGGTTGAAAACGCTAAATCATTAAAGGGATGATTGTGATATGAAACGTCTTCCAAGCTAAGCTAGTACGTTTCAAAACTGGCTGGGGTATCCAATAAAAGCTCAAAACTGGCTGGGGTATCCATAAAGCTTTTATTCCAATCATTGCCTATAATAAATCTAAAACCGTATTGTCGTATAGAGCAATACCGTTTGGAGTTTTATGACCTTTATAATTTACAATCCCCTACATATAAAAGGCAATATTTCTGCTTTTGTTCCAACTTCAATAACAATGCATTAAGTAAACGGTAAAGATTAACCATAAATTCACAAATATTTATGGTTAATAAATATTTCTCGTTAGCTCAAAAAAAGTAGAAACCTATTATATGAAATTGTTTAACCTTAGTATTATCCGTAAGGTAATGAGTGCCTTTCACCAATGCGATAATATTTAACGTTTTGTTTTGTGTACACATGCGTCCCAAAGGTGATCTCAAGGTGGTTGTTCAAGATGGTTTACAATGTGCACTTTAGATTAATCCAATTGTAAGTTGACAATTGGATTATCAGTCCCGAGTATTGAAGAATTATATTAATAGGTACTTCCTCCGTTCTCAAATAAATGCAACAGTTAACATTTCACATTTGCCGAGGCACAATTTTGACCATTAATATATATAATTCCCGATTAGTAAAAACCGTTTAAAAAATAGATTCTGAAAATTTATAATGAGAAAAATTTAACAATATTTTTTTCAAAAATATATATTATTACATTAATAAATGAAATGTAGTCAAAGTAGAACATGTGAATAGTGCAAAAAGTCCAACGTTGCATTTAAAAGAGAACGGAGGTAGTATATAATATCGAAGTACTTGTGTAAATCCGAATATGGGAACAAACTTATAATTTTTAGCATAAATAATCTGTTGAGCAGATTATTTGTGCATGAAGTTCCCTTTAGTTCCTGATAAATGATCGGGTTTATGATTAGATATCATTTAGCAAGATAAGCTTACTAAATAGTTTAAATTCGGATACTTAGTCCATTAAAACGATTAAACGGTAGACATTAAGGCATAACCATCTTGTTTCATTCCTAAAATAATTGGTGTAAAACGGTACTTAAGAAACGGTGTAAAACATCATTTTTGGCAGTTATATTAGTGTAACTTATCAGTCTAAGATATAGTAACCCGATCAATAACATAAGAATCTCTAATGATTAACGAGCTCCATTCTAATACGCTTTAAAGCTATTAAAGCTTTACAAATATTTCCGATTGAAGATAAGTATTTAGACGAGGAAATTACCAAAATGCGGGATTTTTGGGTCTCATATGCCAAAATATGGAAAAGTTAATTAGGGTATGAAAGAAATATACTCAGGGGAAGCCATTTTTTTGGTTTGTTCGTAAATAAGGCACGTAACATGCAAGAAATATAAGGTAATGGGTCCCACCCAAAATAAAATCTCTTGTTTTCTTTGAACTACTATAATTTTTTTATTTGTACTCTGATTGTTACAAAACATATACCAAAATTTATAACTTTTTATTATCTTTCATATGACACCAATATTGAATATATAAAAATCAAAAAAAAATTAAGACTTTAAAAATTATCTTCTTTTTAAAGCGTTATATCTTTTGTGATTGTATTCTGATTATTACAAAAACTATACCAAATTCATAATTTATTTTTATCTTTCATACGAAATCAATGTTTCATATATAAAAATAAACAAATTATTCTATTAATTTGTGCAGTTTAATATGGCCACACCGAGGTTTTGGAACACTGGCGGAGGTGACATGCCAGGGCCGAGCAAGCAATATCTATTTATTAATAAATTAAATTAAAAACTACATTTGTTTTGTTCACTTCCATTAAACAAATGAAATTTGTACTTCATTTTTTGAATTTAATTACACTACAAGAAATTTGAGTTTTTGCGACCAAGAATTTGCGACTGACCTTGAATTTGGTCGCAATACATTACCGATAACGACCACATTTTATACGGTCGCTTATGTATTAGTTTTTCCGGGACCATTAAAATATCTCGTCGCTATTTGCATAACATCCCGTCGCTAAATAAATTTCTTTTGGCGGGTGGCGTGATTCATGAACCCAAAAAATAGGGCCCGGTTTTTTAGTGTTACTTTTGCTTTTTTTCCTTTAATTAAAAATTGGAAGAAACCTTGGAACCCTGGACGGCTGGACCGCTGGAGAGAAACCCTTCCACAGACGATTGCTCTCTGGAGAAACCTTCTCAGAGACGCAGACTCACCATCGATAGCTCTAGAGAAAACTCCTTCGCAGAGACGCATGCCGCGACGAAGAATCCAAATCCAGGTAAACAATTTTCCTATCATTATTTAGCTGTTATTAAGAATAGAAAAACCCTTGGACTCCATGGCAGTACTCCTCCTAGCGCTTTAGCCCTACCCACATTCCTGATCAACTTTTCCGCATAAATCCTTCTCATATAATCTTGTCACATCTCACGCTTGATAGAACAAGCTGCCTCGACAGAGTTACTCTGCGAATCGATCAACTCAATCCCCCGATCTGTAGTCTCCTCCTCGCGCCCAAATCTATAGTCTTCTCATCACAAAGACATCTCGCAAGCGACACGCTACTACCACGGTAATCTTCTCCGGCAGAATCTCTCGCTCCTCTAACTCCATGTGTATGTTTCTTCTAAACTTTTTATCAACATCCAAATTTGTTTCGATTTCTTGCAAAATCAAGTATGCTTTCATTTTTTTCCTCACTAATTTTACTTTCTATGAAGTATCTTTTAGTATTGGATTTTTATTTTAACAGTCCAAATGAGGTAAATTTTATTGAATCTACACCGAATTTACCTTATGTATATTGATTAGAGAGCACGTGGGTTTTGAATTACGGTTGATTTGTGTAGATTTGCTTACAATGTAGTCTCCAATTATTTGTTGGAGAGTATTGTGTGTCTCTATTTGTATATATGTATTTGTAACATTAATGCTTTTGTGTTTCTTAAACTTGAATAATAATAATAATAGTTGCCTGCAATAGAAAAATGAAGAACTAGAGGATGATTAGAAGTAAATTAGACAATCTTTGGAGCTTGTGTGATAGAAAGTCAAATTTGGCTAAAAGGGGTTTGCTGAAATCATGTTTCAAATTTTCAAATGAGTTGAAAATATAAAATAGAACCAATACCTAAAACCCATTGGCATTGTTTGACTTTTGAGTTGGGGATGGTTGATATAAAAATCTCTTACTCACACTGGATTGATAAGTTTCAGGATGAGTGCTGAAAGGATGCAGATGAAAACTTTCATTGAATTTATATTCTCATTCAGAACATTGGGTTGATAAAGCTAATTGTTGACAATTTTAATGCATCGTTTTTTTACTGATTAACAATCTATTTTAGAAGGTGTTGGTGTGGTTTTTTATTTTTGTGGTAACGTAGAGTCTGTCCAGATGTTCTAGGGCTGCCAAGTTAGTAATTCAAGTGACTTAAACTAGTACATTAATATACACTGCAAAATTAGTAAGTTAGGGGTAAGTACAATGTATAATGTAAAACTAGTACATTAATATACATTGAAAAAGAGTACAAAGTAGGTTAGAATAAAAGCAATTTAATGATCTCTTAAAGTATGTTTATCGAGATGGATTAAAATTCTGGTCGAGGAGTATTATTTTGTCATCCAAAGTAGCTTATCATTAAGTTTACTTTTTGTAGTGAAAATATGTATTTAGGATTCTGAAACTTGTAGTTTATACTTTTCAATGTCTTGGTATTGTGGTTAAAAGTTACTGACATGTAAATACACCTAATGTTCATACTTTATATGTTTTAATTTACTTTGATGAACAAAGTATACACTTTTTTTTATCAATGCAGTCACTATTGGTCACTCATTTTGGCACTTGGCATTGAAAGGCTTCTGGTAACCTCATCCTCTTTATATTTTCCCTTCTTTTTGCTTATTTTAATTTACAAAAGCATCATGTAGAGATAGACATTGTAAGGCCTCAATTGCAGACAATTCTGTCATCTGCTGTAGAATTTGGTATGTCCGGTGTGCCACAAATTAGTCACCAGTCCCCCAAAACAGGTACACATATGTTTTTGTATTTGTTTCATTTATGCTTCGATTGGTTGATTTTTTTTATTACATTTGAGTTGAAATCTAGTTAAAGATAATGCACATATGTGTGAATTGAGCTTAACTTATCTATGTGCTCTTGATTTGGAAGTTAACAGAGCCTTGAATAAAGAAAAATTTGGAAGAGTTTGAAAGTGGGGGCTAATAAGGGAGGTATCCCTGTCTATATACTATATTTAGTATCCTCTTACAACATATTGAACAATAAAATAAAGTGGAGAGGCCTTACAGTCTTTCAATAATATGAAACAGTTCTTTACTCATACTTTTTAAACAACGTAGTTTGTAGTTAGTTTCAATATATATATATGCTACTTGCAAAGCAGAATTCTTTTGTGGGACGAATGGTTTTTATATAATAATATGTATTAATTTCCAATATATTTTTAGTGTTATGTAATTGATGTATAAGATTCTAAATTTTGCATTTTCTTTCTTTGAAAATGTAAGGAATGATGCGTAAAGGTTAGAGGTGAATGATGATAATAGTGATGATATTTGCAGAAATCTTGCACATAGTGTCTTCATAGATTGTTGGATTCAATAGGTATGAAGGTTATAAGGCTCTTGGCTTTTTCAATAACTGAGAAATGATGAGTGGTATAGGAGTATGTGTGAATGATATTATTTGTAATAACTGTCCAGTGTATGTATGTGTATTGTGTATGTATGATCTGAGTTTATAATATTTTGATTTGTTAGGCTACCTCTATCTATAAAACTCTGTCCTTCACTACTGAAGTATTTGAAGTTTTAGATGATATTTTGTAGATGTGGCTGCTACTTCGTGTGAAACTCGCACGAAAATATTGGATCATGTCAAGGAACCGGAAGCAATTCAGAAACATGTGAGTACACGGTTTTAATGTCTTGTTTTTCTTGTTAGTTACCTCTTAGGATGTTTTTACTTGGACTGTAATTTGCTGGTCTGGTCTGGTCTGATCTGGTCTGGTTTCTTTGTATTTTTATAACTATCCAAGTCTGGTCTGGTCTGGTCTAGTCTGAACTGGTCTGGTCTGAACTGAACTGGTCTGGTCTGGGACAAATTACAGTCCAAGTAAAAACATCCTTAGCTATTTTATTTAACACATAATAAATTCATTTAGGAGGAAATACATGAAGGTAGTTCAATCAGATCCAGTATTACCACATGTTGATGTAATTAAGAAGTATTTTAGACAATAATAATGTAGTGATGTTGGTTTTGCAGGTAGGATGAGTTGCAAATATTTAAAGGGATCGTCTTATGAAAAGCGGGATGCCAAGTTGTATATATGTGGCGGAAGAAGAAAATCAATACTTGATAAGTCATCTAAATGCATTAGAAGATGATGTCCAAAAGATTAAAGGGATGCTTCAAAGTCAATGATACAAAGATCAAGTCTCAGAATCTAGACTTATGTTTCAACTTGAAATACTGGCCTATACCTTTTTAGATATATTTTGTAGCTTAGCAATTTATATGATGCATGACAGTTAAATTAAATAGTTTTAATGTTTACTTTGTTTTGAACCGGAAGTGAATGTTTGTAATTACATAATTCTATGTTTGGATAATCAATTTTGCAGATGTCATTAGTACATTATTGTGTTAGTATTATGTTATTTATGTTAGTCACGTATCATTCTACCTGGAAGAAAAAATAATTGCAAATTCTTCAATGAATTGGTGTCAATTTTCACTAATTTATAAATTTATAAATATTGATATATTTATAATGTTACTTTAGCGAAGGGATAATGGTTGCAACTAGTCATAAAATGTGGTCCTTAATAATATCATTAGCGACCACATTATGTGTGGTCTCAAATTGTTTTAGCGACCAACTTCTTTTTTTGGTCGCAAAAGACCTTTTGCGGCCAAGCCAATAGCGACGGACACACGACCACATTTTGTGGTCGCAAATAACCATTAGCGACTGTTTATTGTGTTTTTGTGACCATTTTTCCCTTCGCTAATACCCCTTTTTCTTGTAGTGTTAGCAATACGAATGAATTAAAAAATATACTCCCTTCATAACTTAAAAACCTTCTCATTTCAAGAGTAGGTGGATTAAGAATAATGAAAGATGATATGAATTATTGAGGGTATGATGGGAAGATAATGGAATAATGTGATGGAATGTAGGAGAAATCCAAAAAAAGTAGTTGTAATAGTGTATTATTTTTAGAATTATTGAGGGTATGGTGGGAAGATTTAGAAATGAGAAGATTTTTTTCTTACGGACGAAAAAGGAAAGTAGGGAGATTTTTTTGTTACAGAGGTAGTATAAAGTAATCAATGTTTTGTTATTCAAAAAATCAAAATGTATATTTTTCATTTTAAAAATTGCACGATACGTATTACTTCAATTTTAAAAAAACTAACTTTATATAATAAAAAAAACCATCCAAACGACATGCCAATTCGGAATTTTTCAATTTAAAGCACTTCATCATTTAAAGCAATTCGGATGGAAAAATAAAATAAATAAACCCCTAGTCGGAAGAGCCAAATCCGACACTAAGCACACCCTATTTTTCAAAACCGTATCTCTGGTCGGAAGAGCCAATTCCGACCTTTGCTTTTTTTGAAAACCCTAAATTTTTCCCGTAATTTGGCAACGGATTTTCCCCGTAATTTGGCAACGGATGTTAAGAATTCCCGTATTTTGGTAAAACACCCTATTTAGACGCGGATGTTAAGAATTCCCGTATTTTGGTAAAACACCCTATTTAGACGGACTAATATTAGTACGATCGATAAAACGTGATATTCCTATACTATTCTCACTGCTAGAAATAATACTGACTATTAGGAATTGCCAATATGATATTACAGAGGATTAGATCTATCCTCTGTAATACCATAAAAGGGAGTGAGTATAATGATTTAGGGTTGTATGTTAAAACCGATCACAGCGTAAATACTGTTGAACGGGCAATATCGATGGTGTTAAATAATAGTTTATGGGAATTACGCTCATATGGATAGATCTACTCTACGATTAAAGTGTGACAAACATAATGGCTATCTAATGGGGGAGTCGAATAATTTTCCCGGCAAGAGCCCATCGTGTAAGATTGTTCCAAAGGAAAATAAACTATAATGGACATCATAAATGCGTAATTACCCACGATGATATAAATATAGTTTAGGCATATATGTGTAATCTTTAACGTACGTATTCTCGATAATATGTTATGAGACACCATATTTACCCTAATCAAATTTGTCAATATAACACGTTGATGAACGGCACTCAATACGTAAGGCTTTATCTCTTAAATCGCCTAAATTTTACTATATGATTGTCGGACGATCATCCCTTATACATTTAGTAAAAAGTTCCTATCGCCCGAAGATAAATTAAGTTTAACCACTTTGAGTTCACATTATGATATATCAAAAACGTATTTTTGAGCACGGTTTCTATCTCTATCAAGCATGGTCATAACGAACTATCTTATCCCATTGAAGAACACCATATTTTGTCCATTGAATCAATAGTCATTCATAGTCTGTAATAGCATACAGCATCTTAAAACGGCGCCTGAAGATAAGTTTGTATGAAATAGCAATGCTTTCCACGTTTAGAGTGAGCTTGTTAATACACTCAACAAGTAACATGATTACCTTTTACTTCAAAGTATTTAAACGTAAATACTTTGATGTAAAATATCTATATTAGGAAATCTAAGATATCCTATGATATATACCCAAACGTTATAACTTATATCAATTTCAAAGTGATCTTTACCAACATCCTTGACTATTTCTCCACTAATATCATATCTATACATTTCGATATGATGTATAGATATATGTTAAAGTACTTAGTATGATTGTTCATATACTTTTAAATCAGTATATTAAGGGAAAGTTCCCGAAATAGGACTAAAACAGTTTGAAAATTCCAAAATAGGACTGCCATGTTTTTATTCCCAAAATAGGAGTAATTACTGTCAAGTTTGGAAAATACTGCCATGTTTGAAATCTGGTACTGCCAAAACATGACAGTAATTAGTCCTATTTTTGGAATAAAAACATGACAGTCCTATTTTAGAATTTTCAAACCTTTTTAGTCCTATTTCGGGTAATATCTCGTATATTAATTTAGGTCATTAAATTGTCTTATAACATTAGGTTATCACTGCTCATACCGTATTGAGCAGTGATCTGTTCACACTAATATAAATTTGTATACAGTTATAAGAGACAGATCTTATAGCAATGATACCACGGTTTGAAATATGGACGAAATACTTCTGAACTCCCGGACTCTTTAAATACCGTTTTCTCTACCATCCCGAGCATTTAAATATCCACTTTTGAGTGTCATATCTGGATGATTTAAGCCATTTGTAAGTGTTCAAAAGTAATATAGGTGATTTCAGTAGAGCACTCATATTGTAATCCTTACCGTACCGTTTAGCAAATTACACAATATTTAATGTACAACTTATCTTCAGCCCAAGTTAAACATATTATATATAGTGTACGACACTATAACGGTACGGTTATAAAGGGAGCAATTCACTTTATTTTGACCAAGATATGATTATTTCAAATCCAAACGTATCTGAAATTACACAATCGTTATCTTAGCATAAGGATTACTAACTCATATTTTAGAGTATACATAATCTAAAGTGAATTGCAACATATCTTTATTAAAGATATTTAATGGAACAACTTGCTCTTACAATACAGGTTACTGAGGTTAGTATGTATTAATTAACATCATTTCAGATATATGATGGTTAAAACGTGTGGCTATTGTCTTCGAGATAAGGATATCAATCTGAAAATATTTTGCATTGTAGAGCTCGAGGATGATGGTATACCGTATTTGTGTTAATCTAATAATAGTGTTTAAGTGTACATAAGAGGGGAGCAAGATATGATCAGATTACAATTGTCGAACTTAGCGGGAAGTCCTCATATCTTGTGATAACTTAGGGTTCAAAATAGTCTTCCCATTTATTAACTGTTGGGTGTCGATTTCTTTCCGGCTCAGGTCTACAACCTCCCCAATAGGCTCACATACACCACCCTAGGCTAGACCATAACACAACACCATGTTTTATCTCCACCACTAAGGTGCCTCTCTCAACTTACACACAAAGGAAAGGAGAAGGGGTCTGCTCTGGATTTTCTCTCACGCAGGACAAGCTCACAAGGAAGAAGAGAGCTGCTAAATAATAGACTGGCCAACACTAAAGGACACTCACGGGTGAAACAAAGACAAAGGAGGAGGCAGCGGACAACTCATTTGGGGTCACTCCACATAAGTCAAAATGGCCATATAATTGGTTAGGAGAGATTCAAAAGAAGGTATCAAAGTGGGAGTAAACATGGGTGCAAGTCAATAATAAAATGGAAGGGAGGCCTTGGTAGGACCAATACCTCCAACATTCTCCACCTTATTGGTCCTAGGTGGTGTAGAGTAGCAATACAAAGTTGTGAGACTCATCATCGCCGGATTATTACAAGTACATCATTGCGATCATACAAGTAATAGATGAGAACCAAAGTTCCCTTTCGGACCAAGCTTACCATGCAAATCCACTTCACGATGGACTGAACTCTACCAATCGGTCCTCGAGTTCAGAACCAAAACCATCACAAAACTATTAACAAGCACAACATATGTTAATAGACCACGCAAGCAAGCATCCGAGAGAAGTTGGGGATTCCAACTAATCCAACAACCACACATAACAAGCACAAAGAAAATAAAAGAAACAATATTATTTCTATAACTAGCACAGGTAGAGCTCACATAATCACTTGGTATCACATTTTCAAAACACAAAGAAAATAGCATACCAAATATCACAAAGATTTTAATTAAAAGAGAATTAAGCACATTTAAAGCAAACTCAGAGGAAATATAGTCAAACACATTGCACATATAACTTCTCACATGCTTCCTAATGTCTCTATCTCTAATAACATGGCAATCACGCAACTCAAGCATATTGCACACAACATTCACATCATGCTCCACCTTAATAGAAATATTATTTTCTCTATTTTCACCATGAAAAACATTTTCATCCACAAATTTGAGTTTGGTTTCAACAAGTAAATCGGAATGAACTTCAACAGGCAAATGCTCCACCTCATTTGGAGCAACATCAGGAGAAACAAGCAGGCAAGGAAATTCATTTTCAACAAAAATGACATTTCTACTCATCAACACATTGAAGCAAGTTTCACTCCTACACCAAAGCCTATAACCTTTCATGCAATCATGATATCCTAAGAAAACATATTCCTTAGTCCTAGGTTCAGATTTAACATTCAGACGATTCACATAAGCAGCACAACCAAACACTCTCAAATTTGGCAAGTCAAGTGGTTTGCCCATGAACACAGATTCAGGGCATTTCCCTCCTAAGGGAACAGACGGGGACAGATTAACCAAATCAACAGCATAACAAATAGCTTCCCCCCAGAACTTATTAGAGAGCCCAGATGAAGCTAACATAGCCCTCACCCTCTCTAATAAAGTTCTAACCATCCTCTCAGCAACCCCATCCGGTTGGGGTGTGGAGGGAACAGATTTATGCATAGAAATACCCCAAGTATCACATAAATCACCAAGCTGATCATCATAGAAATCAAAACTGACAGTGGTCCTTAAAAAATTTATTTTCTTACCGGTTTGTTTTTCAACAAGGGTTTTCCAGTTTTTAAACTTATCAAAAACTTCAGATTTATTTTCAATCAACAAAACCCACACTTTCTTTGAAAAATCATCAATCAACGTCAGAAAATAATTTTTCCCACCATGAGTGGAAACACTATAAGGACCCCACAAGTCAGCATGAATACAATCAAGCACATTAGTACACTTAGGCAGATCAGGAAAACCAACTCTAGATTGTTTTCCTAGCACACAGGGTTGCACACAATTCACAGAATCAAGTAGGGGTTCAGCATGACAAACATACAAGTTGTTTTTCATCTCAGCTTTGAAAACAACTAAGCAACCCTTCACAACTTTCATGATTCCCTTTCCCCATTTTCCCTTCAAACCCTCATTTTCAAGAGAAGCACAAGATAGCAAATTACAGCACAGCGCAGGAACATGCCTAACATTCTTCAAAGTAAGCACATAACCAGAAGAAAACCTAAGGCATACATCTCCTATTCCTAGCACATTGCATTTCTTCTCATTTGCTAAAGACACAAAGCCATGCTCAATCTCTCTATAGTTTGAAAAAACATTTTTCAAAGGGGACATATGAAAAGTACAACCAGAATCTACCACCCAATCTGATTTACCCAAAGAATCAGATATCACAGAACTCAAATAGTCATAATCACATAGATTTTTCATCATAAAAACATCACCTAAATCATCTTCAAACGTAGTCAAATTAGCATGCTCACTATGCTCATTTTCCCTAGATTTAGGACAGTCTCTTATGAAATGACCAGATTCGTGACAATAATAGCAACGCCTCGAATTAGACCTAGACTTAGATCTATGTCGTCTACTATTATTTTCTCTACCCCTCACATGCATAACTTCCTCGGATTTTCTACCCTCACCCATCTGTTTTAAATCTAATTCCTTACTCTTAAGACCATTAACCACAATGTCAAGAGTCACATTATCTCTACCATACTTAATAGCAGATTTCACATCACCAAAGGAATCAGGAATAGCATTTAAAAGAGCAATAGGGGAATAATCATCTATATGCTTATCACCACACAACTTAATATCCGAAATAAGTTTGGTAAAAACATCTAGATTTTCTTCAATATCTATAGACATATCTAGTCTAAATTTGAAGAATTTCTCAAGTAAAAATATCCGGTTAGGCAAAGAGGTCTCAGTATACAGTTCATTCAATTTATCCCACAAAATTTTAGCACTCTCTAAAATTCCAACTTTTCTAATCACAGAGTCAGATAAGTTCAAATAAATCACAGAACATGCATTTTCATTCATTTCAGCCCTTTTCTCTTCTGTGTCAGAAATTAAATAGGTTTCGCCAACTGCTTTAAAACATTTTTGTTGTATTAAAATACATTTAATTTTTTGCTTCCAAATGCTAAAATCAGATTTTCCATTAAATGGAGCCATACCATACTGATTATAAGCAGACATTTTCACATAGAAAAACAAGCAACAAAATAAAATGTAAATTTCGCTGAAAAACAATTTAAATATTTATAAGGCTACAACTATACGGAGCAACTAGCACGAATACGTGGGGAGTATTAATGAGCACCAAACTCAAGTTCAAACCCCTTGTTCTTCCGTATAAGCACAAATAAATAATAAATTTTCAGCACAAACACAATACAACAATTCAATCAATTTAAAAACAGTAATAAACCTAAAACATAATTTCTACACAATAAAAGATTAAAAAATCACTACAAAAGCGATAAAAGGGATAAAAGTCAAAATACCGGAGCGAAACCCTAGGAGAGGCGTTTCGACCTTACCCACCCAATTTTAAAAATTGGGATTTTTTTTAGGAAGGTTTGACTGGAGTGGACTGCCTGTTGACTATCCGTTGACCATGTTTGACTGAGCAGTTGACCGAAACTCCTCTGCTCCAAGTCCAGGCCAAGTTGAGCAGACAACTCCTTCCTTCCCTTGTTATTTTCCAACCTTTCTACGCAACAAATGAGCAGCCCAACAAATGAGCAGCCCAAAGTCCACTAACTCCACGTGTGAATGCCTCCTTTTCAAACCCTCCGCTCCAGCTTCTGCGCAATTACAGTCCTTAGCTCGCAGACGACGGTCTTCAAATCCAAAATCCAGGCCTCGATCTTTTCCGGATACGAAATCTAGGTGGACGGAGGCTCCAACGACGAAGGAGCTCAACAACCTAGCTACACTCGGATTTCTATGAGCTCTCTGCGATGGCAACCAGTTGCGACGGAGGACGGCGGCTCCGGCGGCGACCTTCACCCACGAGCTCCGAATTCAACAAATGACGGACGGACGGATTTGGTTGGCTAAAGCACCAGCGAGGCTTCTCAGTGGCGAGCGGACCTCCAGCCACGAGTAACAGTCCTCTAGACCTCGAAACGGCGGCGGCCGGCGTACGGCGGAGCACGGCGGCGGACGGCGGCGGAGACTTTCCAGGTGGCGGAAACCGGCAAAATCTATGGCAACGACAACACAAGCTCTGATACCACTGTTGGGTGTCGATTTCTTTCCGGCTCAGGTCTACAACCTCCCCAATAGGCTCACATACACCACCCTAGGCTAGACCATAACACAACACCATGTTTTATCTCCACCACTAAGGTGCCTCTCTCAACTTACACACAAAGGAAAGGAGAAGGGGTCTGCTCTCTGGATTTTCTCTCACGCAGGACAAGCTCACAAGGAAGAAGAGAGCTGCTAAATAATAGACTGGCCAACACTAAAGGACACTCACGGGTGAAACAAAGACAAAGGAGGAGGCAGCGGACAACTCATTTGGGGTCACTCCACATAAGTCAAAATGGCCATATAATTGGTTAGGAGAGATTCAAAAGAAGGTATCAAAGTGGGAGTAAACATGGGTGCAAGTCAATAATAAAATGGAAGGGAGGCCTTGGTAGGACCAATACCTCCAACATTAACTATGTAAAAATTGTGTTCCCTACAGTCATAAGGGCTTTTAACCATAACACGTCCGGCTCTACAATACAAATATCTTAAGAATTATTAAGATATGCCTCAGTCCTTAACATGTGAATTTGTCCCCATACTACCATAACCACACGTTAAGATAATGTGTCTAAATCTCATAAATCGCAACTAATGATCAGTTTGAATACTCCACACAATGCTAATCTCTGAATGAGGCCCAACAAATACCTTCATACAATATCAAGGTATTTGGTCTATGCTTTAAAAACGGATGATCATTGTAAACTTATCGAGCTCTATAGGCATGTATCGAGCTCTGTTTTTAGAGCTTCACTGTAATTGTAAAACATAACGGCTGAGTTCTAAGTTGTTTAAATAATTGATCTAGTTTTCACAAATAGAAGAACTTTTAGGTGGAACAAACAAACCTTTCCAACAAGAGAACTCTGATGTGTTCTAAACGAGAAATATGGACTAAGATTACGTTGTGTTCACTCGTCACATATTTGGATATATTGAGTTATATGTAAAACATAATTATAGGGGTATTTGTATAATTATGCGTTATGAAATAGGAAAGATATTCTATTTGATTTAATTATAAAGTGATTAAATAACGCCTGAATCATATTTCTTTGAATACCACAGTGGATAACAAAATAATCGGAGAACATAACCGTTTGTTCAAGAGATATTTCCAATTGAATATCTCTTGAACCATGCTAACGCCCCTCAAAGTGGTTCCATTAGTATATACGATCGAACCACTTTGAGCGTCTTGGTGTCCCGGGAAGTGTCACGCTAAAAGCTTTCTTGCTCTACGAGATCTCTTTGTTACGCATTAAGTAAAAGGTTTTTTGTTTTTTAGCGTAAATACCGTTTAGCGAATCGCAACCAAAATAGTAGAGCAAGTATTTAAACCGACATATTATTTCCAAAATATTTAATAATATTTTGATGTGACACATCAAAATATTAATCCTTTGGCTTAAAATAGAACACTCGATAAGATCTTTCAAACGAGATAGAAAACGTCTTTAACGGAACAAAACAGAGCAAGATATGATCGGATCAAATTCTAAACGAGGTAACATAGTTGATCTCATATTGTTTTGTCCTAAGTAATAGAGCAAACCTTACGGGTGAACTATGGTTATATGCATGTGTTATATCTTAGAGAATTATTTGAAGACGTAAAACAGGCTAAGTATGAGTGTCTCCATATATACTTCAACTTAAATAGAGCACTTTTATCCTAAATTTATCCTAAATGGATATTATCTCATGGTTTAGGATGAGATAAGTTTAATGGGATATCAGGCTGGTAGGCAATCATCCCATATGATTTGAAACATTTTATAAGTCAAATATTCTAAGATAGTTGGACTTAGATGGTTCTAGCGTAAAAGTAATAACACTATGCAGGCTAAGATATATACCAGATTCCACCGAACTGATATTATCCGTGGATATTATCCGTCTAATCGGATCAAAGTATATTCATTAAATATCAATGAATATACTCGTTTTGTCCTAAACATACTTGATAAGATATGAACACGAGATTACAAATTTCGTTAGATGTATGTGGCAGAATAAGTATTGCAACTTACAAATGTGTGACGGGCACTTGTCGTGAGGTGTACTCAAAATAAATATCAATACAACAAATATACGTATTATATTGAAGTAAGGTTCGTATCCGCAGGGAAACGAATGCTTCTCTTTTTATAGAAATAAATAGTAACAAGGGGGTTTTAGTTTGATTTGGTTTAATAAATTAAACACAAAGATGAACGAATTATGTGGTTAATTAATGAGAAAAAGACTTGGCTTTGCTTTTATCCACTTAATGAAATATTCGTCGATCCCGGTTATATCTTTAACTATCTTCCTCTCGAATACTCAATCGAGGAGTATATCCAGTTCATCGAGGGTAGTTATTAATAATGAGATGCGTTCATTAATAAAACTTACTATCGAGTCAATATAGAACAAGCGTCGTATATTAACTTGATAGTAGCAATAAACTTAAGATGAAAACGATTGAGATTGATAACCTTAACACAAGCGGTTTATTGGTTTAATCAATATAACTAATTCCCCTTGGCTTATTAACCATGAGAAGCATGCATTAACAATCCAAGTTTATCACCATTGAAAGAACCGAATTAATAACAAGCGTATTAACCGATTGATTCTAGTAATAATTAATATATGAAACAAAACTAGCTGATACTTTAAGTATTGCTCAAGATATTAAGAGTTATTACCATTTTTGGTCCCTGACTATTATGTCAATGACAATTTTGGTACTTGACTTCTAATTTTTCCATTTTTAGTCCCTGACTATTGTGCTAGAGACACTTTCAGTCCTTGACTTCAAAGTTTTCCACATTTAATCCCTGAGTATTGTCAAATTGACACTTTTAGTCCTCCAATTGTGATTTTGACACAATAAGTGGAGGATTAAAAATGTCACTATTATGTTAGTTGAAGGACCAAAAGTGTCACTTTTATGAAAGTTGAAGGACTAAATATGGATATTTTCAAAGACGGGTACCTAGAGTGTCTCTAGCACAATAGTCAAGGACTAAAAATGGAAAAAATAAAAGTCGAGTGCCAAAAGTGTCAATGACATAATAGTCGGGGGACTAAAACTGGAAAAAACTCAGATATTAATATGGAATATGAAAAGGAAGTAATTAATTTTCAAGGAAGAAGATTAAAGAAAATAACTCACAACTTACAAATCATTAAGCTTCAAAGTAGCAAAACCAAGATGGAATAGTTTAGTTCCTCATTTGGAGACTAAACATGATAGAAAATATAAAGAAAACACTAATCTAAACTGAGCTTAAGTATATGGAAGAAGGGATATTTTTTAAGAAGGAAAAGTGTGCTATTTATATCTAAACTTTGGCCGGGTACCCGACCGGGTAGAGTATCTATCCGACCGGGTACCGATCCAAATCAAATATTTGCCACATTCTAGTGTTCTTCAGCACGTCGGGTTGTCCTCGGTCAAGTCTCACCCGACCGGGTGAGGTATAGGGCCTGACCGGGTCAAGTAGTTTCCTGAAGACCGATGCTTTGTTAAGCATGGTTATCCAGAAGGATGGATGGAACGCCGTCGTAATACACACAAGACACGTGGGTCCTCTGGCAGCAACACACCTGGAGGATCCACAACCAATTCTTGTCACTTGTCACCTGTCTCTTTGCACTGTGACAGTCAAGCGGCTCTACATATTGCCAACAATCCTGTGTTTCATGAACGCACCAAACACATTGAATTCGACTGTCACTTTGTCCGTGATGAGATTCTCCGCCACACAATTGCTCCTTGCTATGTTAGCACTTCCATGCAACTTGCTGACATTTTGACTAAAGCCCTCGGCCGCCGCCAATTTGAGCAGTTACTAGTCAAGTTGGGCATTCGTAATCTTCATGCTCCAACTTGAGGGGGTATTAGCATATAAATTGTATATTCTAGATCATTCTCCAAATCTTTAGATTACACTAGAAATATTCTCCAAATATTGTGTAACCGTAGCATAGCAAGAATATTTTTGTAGCTAATTTTTAGGATCTATTTTAGGAACATCTCATGTATAAATATTCAGCAATATACACGGAAGAAGCAGGTTGAATTTTCCCAAATCACATGCTTTACTTTAATATGTCACCTAAATTCTTTACTTGATCTGAAACATAAAAAACAGAGCAAAATATGATCAGATCAAATTCTAAACTAGTTCGGAGTGAAATCTCAAATATTTGTGAAAAGACAATTTTGAGTTCTAAAGCGACAAGTTTAAGTGCTCTATAACTGAGTACAGAGAGACGAAGATATAATATGTACAATATTATCGAGCTTAATAAGGGACTGATAAGTTCTACGCTATATACGTAAAATATATTTTTGTGAAAAACGCTATATTGTCTTTTACAGAGGTAAGGGCAATTACAGATCTAAGTGACTAAGTGCACCTTTATCAATGCTATTTAGTAATTACTTTAAGCTTGTGAATTCGTGTATACGGTATACCCTTCATTTACGACATAGATAGTCGTAATACCGAATGGACAATAGATTCCCTTTAAAACGTATTGGCTGAAAGCATATGTCGTAAAAGTGATCCGATCAAATGGATTGGAGTAATGATTTATATCCGATCACCATGGTAAAACAAAACACGAATTACCCTATCTTTTACTATTTCGGAACAATCTTTAGAGGGGTTGGATGAACAATACTATCAAAAGATTTTAATCCGAAACGTATTATAGAGATTAGGCTAAGTATACATGCCTTTCCAATAGATCGGCGTAAATATACCGGCAAAGGTTATACAGATTAGTGTGTATAATTTAGTAAAACATAAAACGTTTTACTAAAAGGCATATCTCTTTGGGATAATAAGCTAATTATTACTGGTGTATATTAGGAACACATACAAGATATACAAGTTTGTACTTTGTTCTAGCTTATAAACCATCTAAGACTGAAACATCCCTAGTATTCATGATTATTACTAAATATTTTACCGGTTTGTCGCAAAAATAAGTGTAAAACCTTTATCATTTGGCGTTTTATGATTTAATTTTGAACATTTTAGGATACTTGTTTACACGTATAGTTTTACGTGTAAGAGATATAATTCTCATATTTTAACCGACAAATGCAAATACTTTGTACGATTTAGGATAAGTATCCTAGACCGTAGAGTTTTAAAACATATGATCGGGAAAAGATTAAATTATATGCATTTGTCCCCAGGTTACAATACGTTTAAAATTCTCATTAGTTCCTATGAATATACCGTAAATGATTATTGGATTTAGTAAAACACACAGCCCTAATCCCTTTGTATATTTGGGATATATACAAATATATCCCAAATGTGGTTTTTGTCACATGTAAAATCTTCAGATGACCATAACTTAATTCCAACTTTAGGTAAAGTTGGAATTTATATCATATAAAAGCAGAGTCCAGATGTACATTTAAACCCAAGGCATTGTCCTAG